ATTAAAATCACCCTTTTTATTCATGCATTTATAACTGCTTATCAATGATTAATAATGCATTTGTAAATTAGTTATTAGTCATTTATGAACATCTTTATAAACACTTTATAAAGGGAACCTTAATGTAAAGGGTTACCCTATTTTCTTTAACCACTATATTAAGTGTGTTTGATTGGGATCGGAGCTGAAATCTGCAGGACAGTTGCTCAGGGTTTGAGACCCCTGCAGTAAACTGTCAAGAACCTGGTATGCTGTCTGTAACAGGACTTGTGGTATCGCACCTCCAGAGACACTGAATCTTTATGCACAAGAATGCTAATGTCTTCTTTCATATCAGCCTATTACTTTCAGTTCATTTAATTTCAGTTAAAATTAATTTCATTAATTTGTAAATAATAACATTAAATAAAAACTGTGTTTGCAGTTAAACAATACTAAGTGTTTTGGCTGTAGCTGTATGCAAAACATCAACATGCAAATCTGACTCTGACTGTACAATAAATATTAAAGGGGTCATATGATGCTTTTTTAAAGATCATTATTTTGTGTATTTGGTATAACAGAATATGTTGACATGCTTTAATGTTCAAAAAACACATTGTTTTTCAAATACTGTACATTATTGTAGGTCCTATATGCCCTGCCTCTCTCAAACGCTTCGTTTTCTACAAAGTCCTTCCTTCCGACAAGCACAGTCTGCTCCGATTGGCCAGCTGACCCAGTGCATTGTGATTGGCCGAACACCACAAGCACTCGTCGCAAATGTAACGCCCCTTACCATAATCGCGAGCTTCATCTTTCAAAAGAAATGTAAAGACGGTAAATAATGTCATTAGTTTTACCATCAGTTCAAGCCCGAAGGGGGAACAGAGTCCTGTGACAGACACAGTGAGGAAGCTGGTATGTGTTTGCAGTACACAAGCCACCTAATTGAAAGTTAGTCATGGTACCCAGCATATGGCATAACAGTTCAAACATGTGTGTGTATTTGTTTTTACGTACCTGCTGACAACGTTTCTGCCTGTGAAAGATGGTCCTTTATGCACAAAGCAGAGACAATGTTTGTATGTTTCTGCTATTTTCTGATTCTCATCCTGCAAGCCAAACCACTGGTTGACGCCGTTTCTGAATGTATCCACCGTGAGGTGTAAAATCCTTTGTTTTTTCTTTATGGATGTGAGATGCTTATAGCAGAGTTTATGATAAATTTTACATAGTTTTGAAGGAGGTCTGGCCGTAAGTTCCTCTTCTTCACTACTCGGTCGTGACGACGAGGGCACAGTCATCTTGAAGTCATGTTTACATGTCGTTCCGAAAAGTGGCCACCTTATCGGTCTAGCACAGTGGTTCTCAAACTTTTTCAGCAGAAGGCCCCCTTGTGTAGGGTGAATCCTTTTGTGCCCCCCCCCCAAAAAAAAAACTCATGACGCAACACATCCCCAAACTTACAATTTACTTAATTTTAGATTGTACCAAAAACAAATGAATTTGTACAATGCCAGAACATAAATTGTTTGTAGCCTTATTTCTCTGATGTTGGATATACAAAATAAAATGTTAAATTATTTCATAAAATATAACAAATTGTTATAAAACTTGTCTGAAAAGTGCAACAAATGTATTGAATACTGAACAGTAATTTATGATGTCCATAGTAGAAGATGAATACTGAAAAGTGAATTTACATTAAACTTCTTATATTTTGATGTAGTAAAATGACAGTGGCTCAACAGTTTGGTTAGTACGGTGACGCATTGCTGCCGCACACATTATTTTTTTTCCACTCAATTATGTCGTTTTAACGACATATTTTCTCGTAATAACGAGATGTTTTCTCGTTAAAATGACATCTTTTCTCGTAATAACGAGATGTTTTCTCGTTAAAACGACATCTTTTCTCGTAATAACGACATCTTTTCTCGTAATAACGAGATGTTTTCTCGTTAAAACGACATCTTTTCTCGTAATAACG